TTTTTTTTTTTTAACTAACCAGAATCATGCTGTATGTATTGTTCATGTGCTTTTTGGAGATGTTCTCAGCCTAGCACACTGCTTTTATCCATTCTGTATTCCACAGAAATAGATGTTTGGGTTGCTTCATTCTGCTGTTATAATTATTCCCACTTTTGTGCACAAACTTGGGTGGAATAAAACAAGATGAAACTAGAGAGGGAGACAAACCATAAGAGACTTCTTAAGCATAGGAAAGAAACAGGCTTGCTGGAGGGGCGGTGGGGGGGGATGGGGTGACCGGGTGATGGGCATGAAGGAGGGCACGTGATGGAATGAGCACGGGTGGTTGCATGCAACTGATGAATCACTGAACTCTAAAACTAATAATACACTATATTGTTAATTAATTGAACTTAAAATTAAAAAAAAGGAAACCCCCCCAAAAAAATCCTATACAACTTTTAGCTCCCCAAAAACTTAACTACTAATAGCCTACTGTTGACCAGAAGTCTTACCAGTAATACAAAGTTGAATAACACTCATTCTGTATGTTATATACATCATATACTGTATTCTCACAAAAAAGCAAACAAGAGAAAAGGAAATGTTATTAAGAAAATCATGAGGAAGAGAAAATACATTTACAGAACTATGTTGATCGGGGGGGAAAAAAAAAAAACGTTCATGAGTAGAGCCACACCGTTGAAACCCAGGTTGTTCAAGCCTCCACTGTACAGCTCCACCAGCCCGGAGGGGTGAAAAGGATGTCCTGGAGCCTGCGCTGCCCAGGTGCTCTGACCTCTGGCCCCTCTGGCCCTGGGCTCTATGGATGGAAGTCAAGTCCTTCCCCAGGCCCACACCAGCCCTCCTTTCTTCTTGTCTCCACCATCACCCTTCCCTCTTCCAAGAGGGCTCAACTCATCCACTGCGCTCTCCCGTCTGAAATTCTCTTCCTCTTTTCCACACGTCCAAATCATACATTGCCCTCAAGGTCCAGGTAAAATGCCTCTGTTCTCTCCCACCAAGCTCCCACTAGAAATACCTTCCCCTTTATCTCAAAGCCCAATATCTCTTCTTCGCTTTTGGTGAAGCAAAGGATTAGCTCCTTGAGGATAGGCCTGATTCATCTTCACGTTTCCTCCTACCCACCCGCTATCCCGATGGAGAGCACTCGGGCCAATCAATCTTGATTGAGTGATGGAGGCTGCATCTGTGAGACTTAACAACTAGTCAATAAGGGGTCTAATCAATAAGAGGTTAGAAGGAGGAGGTGTAGAGAAAGTTATCCTGGATTCTGAGTCTGCCATTTTCTAAGGCACAACACGGGAGGAGAGGTGGGTTTGGGAGGGAAGACAGTAATTCCATTTTAGGCACTAGGCGCCGGATATGCCTGCAGGTCATCCACGTGAGGATGAATAGATGGGCGTCTCACCTAGGAGAGATGTGTAGGCTGGAAACAATGCCACGGATTTCCAGAGGCATCACTGTCTCCACTTAATGAGGAAAAGAATGACATTTGGAGAAGGGGCTTGTTCAAACTTGTCTGGGAGAAATAAAGTAGATTGCAGTAGCGGGTTGCTGGCTGGGAGAGGTAAGGAGGCAGAAGTCTTTCTTGGGAGATTTGGGAAGGGATTCAGAGGATTCAGGATTCCACTGGGAATACCAATGGTGTGTCAAATAACCAGGCCTAAAGCGGACCCTCTCTTGAGCCCTGTGTCCCCAGAGACAGACTAGTGTAGTTTAAAAAGGCCTAGCTCCAGAAATGTGAAATCCACCATGAATCTATGTACTTCTTCGGGCGAATCTCTTTCCCTCTCTGCGTTTCCTCTACTGAAAAAGGAAGTTAAACAATCCCTGTGTCTCTTGTAATTCTAACACAGACGGATCAGTAATCCATCTCTTTAACTCTTTAAATTTTTTTTTAATACAAGCCCAGGACCATTTCTTTTCCGAGTACTTCACTTCTAATTACAATGTTAATATAATTCCTATAGTGTTCATTGTAGAAAATTTGGCAAAGGTTCAAAGCCTAAAGAAGAAAGGAAAAATCACTACAATATCACCAGTTGGAGACAAAACTGCTAACATTTCACTGTAAGTAACTTCTACTGGCCTTTCTTTTACTGTGGAAATATACAGTTTATGTTATTTTCTTTTACAAAAATTGGGTAATAATATATATCCACTACTAATTGAGCATCAGACTGATACACAGGCTCGGAAACAAGTGCCCCCTCCCCTCCCCAACACCAGCAATTCTTACAGCAACCTTACAGGGTAGATAGCAATGTCCTCATTTTATAGAAAAGAAGACTGAGCACAAAAAGGTCAAGTGACCTGCCTAAGGCCATATGGCTAGAAAAAAACCAGAATTCCAGAAATCTTAACCATACTAGCTTTGTGAGCTGTTTGTGTGTGTGTGTGTGATTTTTTTTTTTTTACATAATTCTGCTTTAACATGCTCTCATCTCATTTTTCAAATACTTTTGTACCATGTTATTATAAGTACCTTCGAGGCACTAATCGCACAGTCCTTCAATGGTTAGCATCTCAGATGTTTTCAGTGTTCACTCTCACGAACAATGTTATGATTATCTTCTTTCCATTCAGTGGTAATTAATCCCCTTAGGGTAAATTCGTAGAGGCTGAACATCTAGATTGAAGGATATCTGCTTTCTTAAAGCTATTGACAAATAATATCAGGTTGCCTTCCCCCCTAAAATTGAACAATTGTTCTCCCTGTAACAATTTATAAAAGTGCCGTCTACCTGCGACCTCATTAATGTGGAAAATTATCTTATTTTTATTAATCTCTGCCGATGGAATAAATGGAATTTCTTATCGGTGAAGTTGAACTTCTAATGTCATTGACAATTTCGTGATTCATTTTAATAAGCATTTATTATATAAACCCTTGGGAGATGGGAGAGAAGTGAAGGAATGGGAGGAAAGACAGGGAAAATTAATTTTAGTCATTTAACAAAAATCAGGTACCTAACCTATGCAGAGCATGTTGTAAACCCTGCAGGCGTTAAAATGAGTAAGAGCAAGCAGATATTGAGCACCAAGGCATACGGAGTATCAGAGTATCATGGGAGACACTAAAGAAGAAACAGTATTTATCCTCCAAGAACTTGCAAGCTAGTTAGGGAGGGAGAAAACCAACACACAAGGTGTTTGGGCCTAATGCCTCCTTCCCCTGTTCTTTCATGGGGCTGCGTCCCCACATCCAGTATGGCTTTTGGGTCGGTCTTAAAACTATTGTTACTTGTCTACAAGCCTTATTTCCTGATCAGCTGAGAACCCCGGAGGGCAGGGATGGTATATTACTCATACACCTGTCACATCACGTCAGTGAAGGATTTCATAATTCCTTCACAATTATTCAGTGTTATAAAATAGCAACGGGCTGCCAAGCCCTCTACCCACTGCCCACCCCTGTTCCCATATTAGTCCACCGCACACTGGAGAGCATAAGAAACACATGTACCAGGTTCTAGGACTAGACATTAAAGTAACATTAACAGTATTAACTTACTGGTTTGATTAAATAAACCACCACACCACCTTCAATTGTCAGAATCCTAGGATGGTCACCTGCCAGTTCATCGACATGGCCCAACATGTAGAGAGGTTCAAGGGTTTGGGGTTTGTTTTTCACTTTCTCGTACCTTACTGATGCTCACATCCCCTTCCTGCCCTTCCAGGACCCCGCAAACCTCATGATCATCTCCCACCACCCCACCTGAGTGTCTGGTTCGGGAACAGGGGCTCCCCCTCCACGGAGACAGAACAAGGCTCAGTTCCCCTCCCACAGGCTATGCCTTTCCTGGCCCCTCCGGGCCCTTTTCCCTCTTTGCTCTCCTCTCTGCAGCTCCACACCCAGCCCCTACTAGGTCTCCTTTCTCTTTTCTTCTCTAAGGCACATCTCACAACACCACGGATGGATCAAGTTTCCCCTTTACTGTGCACTCACGTCTCTTACCTGTGTTGCCCAAAGCTTCTAAGGCCCGCTCGGCTAAATAAACATTTGCCTCCCTGAATTAACTCAAATTCTGATTCAAGAGTGTTCCAGATTTGTGAAGGCTAGAGGGTTGGGAAGAGGTGGCCACCACAGTGGGGCTATAACTGGCCTCAAGTGTAAGATTCAGGTGACAAGGTGGCCAGGGGTCTTGGTCCCCTTAAACCTTTCCTCCCTCTTCCCCTCTGCCCACTTGTAAGGAGTCTTTGGCAATACAGGGAAAAGGTGTAGACTGTTGGCAAAACACACTTGAAAGAAGTGAGGAGAGGCCATTGGCACAGCCTTCTGTCCATCATCCACACACCAACCTCCAGGTCCTGGAAGGGAAAAGTGAAGCCATATTTACCCCTTGCCCCATGCATATTGGCATGTGCATCAGCCAATAATAAAACTCTCTGTGCCCACACACCCTCGCAGAGGTCACCAAGAGAACAAGGAGTTGCAGTGTGTATAAGATCATTGACTAGACAGGCCCTGTATTCGGTGCCATATCTCTGAGATGTCACTGAGTGCCACGGGTACTCTGCACCCAAGACCACCAAGACTCCTGGTCAGGGGTTTTCAAACTGGAGGCTGCTACAGAATAGCCATGGAGCTGAGTACAAAGGCAGGAACATGCATTTTTATAAGCATCCTGTGACAGTGACGCAGATGTCCAAGGACCACAGTAGCGTATCCAGATGGGGCCATTGTGGAGCTCCAGCCTGGTCCCAGGAGGCTAGTGGCTTCCCTTTGGACCCTTGGAATCACCATCTATCAATGCCTCAGAGGCAGCCGACCTGGTCACTGTCCGCAGTGAAAGCCCCTCCAGTCATCCGTCCTCCTCAGGACACCTCCATGCCCCTCCACCCTCCCTCTCCCTGTTTCCCGCTCTAAGCAACATTTCCTCTGTGCCACTCAAAGCCCCCAAAGCCTACTGAGCTCCTTACACCTTCAACCCTTTCCCAGTGATCTTACCCTGTGATCCCAGAAGAAACCCAACTCCACTGCGGACACCACTTCCCAGGGCCACCAATAGCCTCTATGGTGCCTTGAGTAAATTAGAAAGAGAAGGCCCCTCTGAGGGTGGAGGGGGCATTGGTTAAAAGTGCTCCCCTCTCTCCCCAGGACCTAAAGGGTAGTGAAAGCTCAGATTTCAGCCCCACCCTTCCTCAGATAGAGCACAAACTACACCAACTCCAGCCTGACCACTTCCCTATAACCTTCCATGGAGATGGTTCAACCTCCCACTCCCCACTGGCACCAAGATCAAGAAGGGAGTGCTGTCCTCTTCACTCCCCAGTGCCATTTCCAAACCTCTACTCGTCCCCTTCCTATAGAAGTCTCTGCCATTTGAGACTCGGCCCCATGGTCATATCGGCCTCCAACCTCATCACTGAGGGCTGATGCCTTCCCTCTGTCCCTTACACCTACCACCTTGCTATGTAACTTGGATGTCCACGACTTGTCCAACACCAGAGTCTCACAACTCACAAACCTCCTCATCTCCATTCCCCTTGGATTCCCCACATCCAGGAACCTTGTCAGAACTGCCCTTCATCAGAAATCTGAAGATCTAATAGTCCAGCCCCAAACAGCAAGCCATTTCTTGTGTGGCTCTTGCCCTGCTCTCACTCCTACTCCATCTGCTCCTCAGCATCACAGACACCCCTGGTCCCGAGTCCTTCATTTGCTGCCTGCCCAGCCGAGACCTCATAGTTGACCACCTGAACCATGCTCTCACAAGAATCTACCTTCAATCTCATTTTTCTGGAAAAACCCACCCCTAATGAATCCCGTGATCTGCCTTCTACCCTCCTCTGCCCAGGCCAAGTGCTGCTGAAGAAAAGCACACAGTTCTACCAATGGCACCATGACCTCCAAACTCAACTGGGTTCTGAGTGCTGCGGATTGAGGATCCTTTAACTCATGCTTTGCAGGCCATCTCTCCCACTCTCCTCAGGAAATATTCCGATCTCTAGAGCCCTCTTCAAGTCCCTCCCATCCAACCCCAAAGCCCTTCTGTCTTGGCAGACAACATCTCTTCTTATCTTGATGAGAAACTTGAAGCCATAAAATGAGAGCTGCCTTAACTTTCCTGTTCCCACTACATTCTTACCCATCTCTGCGCTCCTCCTTTTTTCTCCTCTCCAGTCTCCCAGGATGAGGGTTCTTCCTCTGGCCCCGGGCCAGTCTCTCCACCTGTGTTCCCCACCCTTGGCACCTTTCCCCCTCAGCTTTCATCCCTTGGCTTCCAACCCCTCCTTCTCTAGTGTTTCCTGCCTCGTAGCCTATAAATATGCTCCAGTTTTGCAACAGTCAAAAACAAACAGAAACCTTCCTTCCCCTGGGTCTCCCAGCCCCATCTTATCTCCCTCCTTCCTTCTCTACTGAAACCTATACTTGTTCTTCCCCACCACCTTTTCTCCCCTCCCCAACTCATTCCATTGCAGCTTCTGATCCCCTATCCATCACCCTCCAGTAAAAAATCAATACCTTCCCATTGCCAAATCCAATGGATAATTTCTAGACTTTTCTTACTGTTGCACTTGACCCTACTGCCTACTCTTTCTTGCAACTGTCTACTCCCTTGTGACTGGAATACCACTCTCTGTCAGCGTGGATCTCCACCTTGGATTCCTCTTCCACCCACCACTTAATCACTGGGATTCCCTGTCAATCAGTCCTTAAACTACTGCTTTTTGCATCCACACAGTGCTCCTGGACAAAAGCTTCTATTGTTGGCATTTTCGCTATCACCGGATATTCTGATAACTCATAAGTCTCTACCATAGCCTGGGTTTTCTTCCTGAACATCAAGTTTGTATATACAACTGCATGCTAGACATCTTCATTGGGATACCTCACAGGCATCTCAAATGAGACCTAACTCACCATCTCCACCTTTGCTCCAAAACTGCTCCTCCCGTGATCCCCATCTTAGTCAACAGGACCATCACCCTCCCGTCCTGTAAAGCCAGACACCTGGAGTCATCCTAACTCCACCCTCTCCTCAGCAACTATCTCTAAATCTGCCTTTTTTTATTGCCTTAATATTTAAATTTTGTCCCTTCTACATCCTACACCTCATGACTATTTTGTGATAGCTCATCATCACTCACCTGGACTATCACAACAGCCTCCTAACTGGACTGATTCCAGATTTTTCAATCTCACATGTACTTCCCACAAGGTCACTAAAGTGATTGATCCAAACTCAAGTCTGGCCATGTCACTCTCCTGCTTTAAAACCCTGTTGCCTGTAGGATAGAGTCTTAAATTCTTGACATGACCTATAAGGCCTTGGTGACTTGGATCCGATTCACTCCCCAGCATCAGCACATCACCCCTTGTCCTGAACACTATGTTTTAGTAATGCCCTGCTCTCGCCATACTGTTTCCTACCTCCATACTCCTCTCATCCAGAAACACCCACCCCCAGCCACCCCTTGTCCTTCAAAACAGCTCATCCCCCATTTACTCCAAAAATCACTCTTGCCTTTCTTCTGTACTCCTAAGGCATACCTGAGCTTACCTCTGCCTTAGCATTTGCCCACTGTTTTGAAATTATCTATTTATGGGCCTACCTCCCAACACTAAATCAAATTCAAAAACAGGGATCAAGTACTGGGTACTGGCCTTTGCGCCCTCTCGCCCAGCCCCCAGCACATTGCTTGATACTATAAGTAGTCAGAAAATAAGTATTGAATTGATTGCCACAGTAGGGCAATGAGGCAGGTATTACAAGTGAAAAAACTCAGACTCAGCAAGTTACACACTAGTAGATGAGGGAGCAGCAACTTCATATCAACTCTAAGGACTACGCTCTTTGAAACACAACCTGGAAAACACAAGCTAAGCACAGAAACAGAAATAAGAATGACATGTCAGTACATCACCTAAGGGTGATGGTGTATGCAAACAATCTAAGGAAATGAAGGTGGGCAAGATTTTAGGGGGCTGAAGAGTATGGACTTAAGAGTCCTAGCATTGCTGGAATTGCACTACTGGGTATTTACCCCAAAGATACAAATGTAGGGACCCGAAGGGGTACATGCACCCCAATGTTTATAGCAGCAATGTCCACAATAGCCAAACTGTGGAAAGAGCCAAGATGTCCATCGACAGATGAATGGCTAAAGAAGAGGTGGTATATATACACAATGGAATATTTTGCAGCCATCAAAAGGAATGAGATCTTGCCATTTGCAACAACGTGGATGGAACTGGAGGGTGTTATGCTCAGTGAAATAAGTCAATCAGAGAAAGACATGTATCATATGACCTCACTGATATGAGGAATTCTTAATCTCAGGAACAAACTGAGTGTTACTGGAGTGGTTGGGGTTGGGAGGGATGGAGTGGCTGGGTGATAGACATTGGGGAGGGTATGTGCTACGGTGAACGCTGTGAATTGTGCAAGACTGTTGAATCACAGATCTGTACTTCTGAAACAAATAACGCAACATATTTTAAGAAAAAAGAAAAAGAAGAAGATAGCAGGAGAGGAAGAATGAAGGGGAGTAAGTCAGAGGGGGAGACGAACCAGGAGAGATGATGGACTCTGAAAAACAAACTGAGGGTTCTAGAGGGGAGGAGGGTGGGGGGATGGGTTAGCCTGGTGATGGGTATTAAGGAGGGCACATTCTGCATGGAGCACTGGGTGTTACGCACAAACAATGAATCATGGAACACTACACCAAAACAAATGATGTAATATATGGTGATTAACATAACAATAAAAAAATTTAAAAAAAAAAGAGTCCTAGCATTTCTGGTTCTAAGCAGAGTCCTGATAGTATAAACTGCAGGCAGTGCCAGGCCTGAGCAGCCCACTCGCTAATTCTACATGCTGGGCCTGAGGCAGCTGATGTTCCCACAAATACTCACAATGATGCTTTGTGACCATTTTCTCAGTCCTCTCTTAGAAATAAGCTCCTCTCTTGGAAACAAGCCTCCAGGAAGTTCCTAGTATAGATCAAGACATGGGATATCCCAAGGAAATTAGAAGACAAATAAATATGGATCTGTGTATAAAAAAGAGCTGCCATGTCCCTGAGCCTCCACTGGGAGGTCCCTAGCCTCACCCCCCTACTTTCCAGCAGCCTTCTCCTTCAACTTGAAACACAGAAAGCAGCCAACAAAGGGAGTCAAGAGAGACATGAGACAAACCAAGGAAAGCTCAGGCCCGGGAACCCACAGAATCACAAAACAGCATAAGAGGGGGTCATTAGATGCAGCTAATGGCCCCACCCCTGCACACATCAAACACGGCCATCCCTGCACACCTCCCTCCAAAACTCCGTATCTAGAAGATGACTGCCCCAGACAAGGAAGGCACAAGGACACAAGGTTGCAATGATATCAGCAAAAGAAAACTAAAAATACCATCCTGTGTTGACAAAACACAGGAAAAGGCAGCAAGGGTGTGGATAACAAAGGATGAAGATAGAGTGCCCTTCTCTGGTAAACCCCACGTCAAACAAAGGTGAAGAGCCAGGATGACCTCATTAATAGAGAATCTGACAGGTGTCAGGGCAAGAACTCCCCCACCCTCTGTCCCCATCCTAATCTCTGGGGGCCAAGCCAACCTATCCTCTTCCCTAAAGGGTTCTGGGAGAGGAGAGCTCACTTCCTGCCCCGGGGAAGGAAGCTAGAGCAGCCTCAGCTCTAAATCATAGTTTTCATTCACAAATGGAGACATTCATACATCATATACCTGCTCCTCTGCGGACTGTGACATAAAGGCCTTTGGTTTACAAAGTTTCACAAGAAAAAAGGATCTGTTGTCCTCCTTTCTTGCTTCCCTTTAGCCAACCAAGCCCAGCTCCATCTCAGCTCAGCTGCAACAGACAGCTCATTACCAGCTGGACAGGCTGTGTCTTGGAGCCCGAGTGAAGCACTTGCAGCCCTGACTCACCTTTCATTGCTCAAGGAGGGGGTGAAGCCTGGGATCTGTGAATTCCCCTCTGGAGGAGGTGTGGGCAGCTCCCAGGCACCACCTCAGTGGTATCTAATAAAGAACAAGGACAATAAGAATTTAATGAGCGCTTTCTCTATGCCAGACACTGAGCTTTACGTGTACCATCTCATTAAAAGTTCCCAACAACCTTAGGAATAAGTACTGACATTATCCCCATTTTACAAACCAGAGAAGAGAGCAGTTCGGTATATTAGTTTGAGGTCACAGGGACAGCCCACGGAGAAGCAGGTACACAACACAGATCTTTCTTCCTGACTTCAGAGATCCCGCTCTTACCCTCCCACACAGAAGGGGCCATCTTCCTTGTCGCCGTGCATATCTCCTTCTCATTGTAAAGACTATGATTTTTCTCTTTTTAAAAAAAAAATTTTTAAGTAGGCTCCATGCCCAGCATGGATTCAAACCCACAACCTCGAGATCAAGACCGGAGCTGTGACACCCAACTGACTGAGTCACCCAGGTGCCCCTGATTTTTCCCTTTTGATAGAAGCTCAAATTCTCAGAACTCTCTTGGTTTCCCATTGGTGTGAAAGTTTCCTGAAGTTAGAAATCATTTTTAATATTCCTTTGGAAGTGATACCAAGAACATAAATTGAAGGGTTCAGAACGCCATGGATGTTTAGTAAATAGCATTCATTTGTTATTATTAAAACCATTAATATTCCACATATCAGGCAATTCCTTTCCTCTAGAGCAGGGTTTCACGACCTCAGCACTACTGATATCTGGGGCTGGATAATTCTTTGTCATAGGGTTGTCTTGTACATCACGGGATGTCTGGCAGCACCCCAGCTTCTACTCACTAGATGTCAGCAGCAATCCCACCACCACCAGCTGTGACAACCAAAAATGCCTCCAGACATGACCAAATGCCCCCAGGCAGCAAAATCGCCCCCCGTTGGGAACTACTGCTCTAGAGTAATCACATAAAAATGATAGTATTTATTCCCTCAGAGTAAAACAGCAGGAAAGCTTATTTCTACCTACAATAAAACAGTGCCCTTATTACTCATAGATAATAAATTTGAGAGTTCCTGAGAATTACTTATAAAAGAAAAGCACCAGAGCATCAATTTTAGGAGATCAAGGTAATGTTCCTGTTATGCCTGAACCAAATAACTTTCTGCCTGTAGAATCTTTCATAGTGGGACGTGATAAGCCGGAGGGAACCCATAGCCAAAAAAAAGGCCTGGGTTCAAATCCCTGCTCATAGCTCCAAAACATTTTTTTGTAACAAGATGGAGTAGACATAACTATTTTTATATCTCAGCTCCTTTACTTACTAGCTTCTGGTCAATTCACTTAATATTGCCGAATCTTAGTTCCTGTAAAATGGAGGTGAAGTTTCCTTGCTCAGGATTGTTGTGAGGATTCAATACAACTGCTAGAAAGCAACCATCTCACAAAGCTTGGCTCAAGAGGGCTCAAAAAGAGTCCCTTCTGGGGTGCTTGGCTAGCTCCATCAGTTAAGTGTCTGACTCTTGATTTCAGCTCAGGTCATGATCTCAAGGTCTTGGGATCGAGCTCTGAGTGGGGCTCCACACTCAGCAGGGAATGTGAGTGTCTCTCCCTTTGCCCCTCCTCCTCCTGCTCATGCATGTTTGTGTGTGCTCACGCTCTCTCTCTCTAAAACTAAATAAATCTTTTTTTAAAAAGTCACTTCTTTCCCTGTCTCACTTGTCACCAGGCCCTGATGTCTGCTTTATTTTTGTTTTCTCAATACCATCCAGCAGAGCACTTCTCAACCCTACAGAGCTTTCAAAATGCAGATGTCTGACCCTACTATACACCAACTAGATCAAAATCTCTGGCTTGAGAATATATATTGTGGGTATCAAAAAGGTAGTCATAAAAAACGTAATATATTATCTTTTACATAATTTTATTGATGCCAAAAAATAAAACAGTAATAATATTTAGATCAGTTCTTAAAATATATTAGTCATTAATAATCAATACATTATAAATCATTTAAATAAATAAGTATATCTCCAAATGGCATCTATTGTATTCTTAGGATCCACAAGTTCCATTAGAATTTTTAGAGTTTATGTTTCAATTTCAATGATCACTTAAAAACAGCCTTTACATGCTATTTAAAAAATCTTTGAAGTGATAATTCTCAACTGAAAGACATGTTCATTGAATGAGACTTTAATTTCTTAAGTTAGTCTTTCTCAAAGTTTCAGGAAACAGAGCTACAAAGAAATTGGAAATTAATGTATCAACAAATTACACAAGTGACAAAATTATATTTGTACCCAAAAGGCTAGAAATAGAGCCCATTTGTTATCAGGAGAGTCATTTGTTTTGTTTTTAGAAAAGATAAGATACCATAGTATAAGTAGTGATATTTAAATGCTAGTACATAGTATCAAATCAATACCAAAAGAAAAAAAAAATCACCGTTCATGATTAATGGCATAAGTCAGTAGCATCAATGGGAATTAAATGAATTGAAGGATGTTTCTGTGACTCAACTAATAGAATGATATTGAAAAGGAAAGTTATGGGCTAGATTCAGGGCTATGTGTTTGTTAGTAGCCTTGCTGTATGCTACATCAGCACATCATAAACTCCATAGGAGCAGGGGTTTGTCGTATTCTCCTCTGCCTACAACAGTACCAAGTCTATAGAGACACTGGGCAACATTTCTGAAATAATGAACACTATCTTCCTCTTATTATCTTGTTATTTCCCTATATCCTTCATTTCTTTCTTTTTAAACCTTGCATTTCTTTAAGTTACCTTAAATCCTACATGAACGAGGTAGGATATTAGAAAATCAATATACTTTTTTTTTTTTTATTCACGAGAGTCAGAGAGAGAGAGAGAGAGAGAGAGAGAGAGGCAGAGGCAGAGGGAGAGGGAGAGGGAGAAGCAGGCTCCCCGCAGAGCAGGGAGCCCGATGCGGGACTCGATCCCAGGACTCTGGGATCATGACCTGAGCTGAAGGCAGACACCCAACCATCTGAGCCACCCAGGCGCCCAAATCAATATACTTTTAAAGAATTGGATGTAAGGGGATTCCCGTAAGTAGCATGTCTCCTTGACTTTGCCTCTGGAGAGCTGTCTGCTGCATTCTGTCAGGTCAACCACCACACTGGTCCATCTCCCATCCTGGGAGTTCAGCTCATGTCCCACTGATTGAACTGTCCTGTATGTTTTTACTATTGAACTGTCCAGTTAAATAGTTGGTACAATGCATTGGAATTTCTTGGTAAAATGCCACACCCTCCAAAGACGTGCCAAAGTGTAGCTAAGAGGAACTAATGGGTACCATTTTTCTCCAGAGGTAACTGATGGGGGCACCCTGCAGGCTACTTCCTCTCAGGCATAGAGCTCTTGTCTCTCTAGGGAGGAACTCCCACTGGCTGGCCAGTGAAGGGGGTGTCCAAACCTGCCTCCTCCCTCTGCTAGGGATGCCTTTTCTACTTCCTCTTCTGTGTGGGGATTGGAAAGCACTGAGCCCTGACTTCTCTTGTCTCATTTCACTTCCTCACCCACTAACCCACTCTTTGACCAGCTGCTGAGTGCCCTCAACACTACTCTTTCTGCCTAAAAATGAATGAAACTAATTTCTGATTTGGGGGTGACTACAAATGCTAATGTTAGAAGGACGAGCTTAAAAGGTTCAACTTCCCTATGAGCACTCAGTAGTATACAGAATTGCTGAATCATTATATTGTATAGCTGAAATATAACTCTGTATGTTAATGACACTTCAATGCCACAAAGAAAAAAGAAAATACCTCCTGGCAACATTTATTTTTTTATTTTATTTTTTTAAAGATTTTATTTATTTATTTGAGAGAGAGAGAGAGAGAGAGAAATCACAGAGGGAAAGTGTCAGGGAGAAGCAGGCTCCCCGCTGAGCAGAGAGCCCGACACAGGACTCGATCCCAGGACCCCAGGATCATGACCTGAGCTGAAAGCAGATGCCCAACTGACCAAGCTACCCAGGCGCCCCCCTCCTGGCAACATTTAAAAGTGAATGGTGGGGCGCCTGGGTGGCGCAGCCAGTTAAGCGTCCGACTCTTGATTTCAGCTCAGGTCATGATCTCAGGGTCCTGGGATCAAGCCCCAGTCATGCTCCGTGCTCAGCACAGAGTCTGCTTGTCCCTCTCCCTCTGCTCCTCCCCCCACCACTCAAACAAATAGATAAATAAAATCTTTAAAAATAAATAAGTAAAAGTTAATGGTAAATTGACACAGCCATTAAGAGAAACAATATGGAGATTTGTCAAAAACACTAAAAATATAGCTATCCTATGATCCAGCAATCCCACTTCTGGCTATATATCCAAATGAAATAAAACCACTTTCTCACAGAGGTATCTACACTCCCATGTTCATTATTCAGAGTCACCAAGACATGGAAACAACAGAAGCGTCTGTTGACAGATAAATGGATAAGAAAATTGTGATATATATATATGCATATATATGAATATATGGATTATATCTGTATATATACACACACATATTATCCAGCCTTTGAAAAGGAAGGAAGGGGGCGCCTGGGTGGCTCAGTCGTTAAGCGTCTGCCTTCGGCTCAGGTCATGATCCCAGGGTCCTGGGATCGAATCCCGCATCGGGCTCCGTGCTCGGCGGGAAGCCTGCTTCTCCCTCTCCCACTCCCCCCCCCACCACTTGTGTTCCTGTTGTCTCTCTCTCAAATAAATAAATAAAATCTTAAAAAAATAAAAAAATAAAAAATAAAAAGGAAGGGAATCCTGCCCTTTGTGACATGAATAAAATTGGAGGACATTATGCTAAAAGAAATAAGCCACCCACAGAAAAATAAATAATGCATGATCTCATTTATGTGTGGAATCTAAAAATAAAAGTTGAATTAACAGTAGCAGACATTAGAATGGTGTTTCCCAGGGCCTCAGAGGTAGAGGAAAAGGAAGATGGTAGTCAAAGTGTACAAACATTCAGGTATGAGTAAGTTCTGGAAACCTAATTAGAGAATAGAAAAAAATAAAAAGATTCAATCTCACACTTGATGAGAAAGAGGTCTTTGA